AAAAAAAAAATAAAGGAAGAAAGAACTTTCCTCTTTATCTAAAGGTGAATTCCTCCTTATGTTTCATGTGACAGAGGGATGAATTCTCTTGCCCATTGGAGGACCTCAGAGTCTGCACCCACATTCTAAATATCTAAAACAACAGAGAGGCAAAGAGCAATTACACTCTGCCCTCAACGTCTCCCATAGACAAATGAAGATGCTATGAACAAGGGAACCTTGTGACTAGTATGAGACCTGCATTTAATTGACCTTGCCCTCTACCCTGGCATTCAATTCTTCCTCTTAGCAAAAGTTAATTCCAGGGTCCTCACCCTAACCACCCATGTTCTCTCATTAACGGATGGATACCAGATACTCTGTCATCAAACTCACAGCTTTGGAAAGCTATTCAGAACATCCAGGCCATGTCTTTGACAGTTAGTTTTATATCTGTAGAGCCAAAGTTTCTATTCAGTGATATTCCAAGCCTTTAGATTCTTCCGGAGGAGGTGACTTAGATGAAGGAGATTCTCTCCAATCTGGGCTCACCCATGGTACTTTGAGACTGAAACCTACTCCCTGTCAAAATAGAGAGCTTCAGGGCCAGTGCCTACAAGGAGTATACAGGCTTTGGAATGAAATCGACCAGTGTGTGTGGTGTGCGTAGGGGGGCAGTGTTGTAAACTTAAAACAAAGGAATAGCTCCTGCTTGGAAGTGTCCGCTGTGCAAGTCTCCACAAACCCAAACCCTAAGACATTCCTAGGCTTTTATGATCCTTTGGTTGTTGATTGTTCTGAGGATTGAACCCAGGGCCTGGGGCATGCAAGAGCAGCGCCCATTCTACAGAATTGGGGATTGAAAGCTAATCAATGCTACTCAAATACCATTGAAACAATCCCAACTCTTGACCTTCCTCCAATAATTCTTGACAACAGCTATAGTTTTTATGATATGAATTTTTAAAAAAGCTACCCAGCAGGGGAGTTGGTTAAGTGGGTTGCCTGGCAGCCTGACTTCCATCACTGGGACGCAAGAGATGAGGAGCATGCATCTGTTATAATCCAAGCCCTGCTATTAAGTGAGACCACCACCACCCTCCAAAAAAGCTTAAGGGCTAGCTAGCTAGCCTGGAGAACTCTGTGCTGCAGAAACCCAGACGGGAGACCTAGCCTCAAAAACGAAGTGCACTGTGGGATGTATGCCCAGTATTGCATGACTAATGACGCTATTCACATACTAAACATATATATCTAAATAAATAAATAGATGCTGTGACTTTGAAGACATCTTTCTAAACATTCTATTGTATCATGACTAGACAGTACACACTAGGGTACGTCACAGGTACAGTGAAAAGCTGAGGAACACTCAGAAGGGATGGATCCCAACCTCTTTCAAGCCAACTTAGTATGTTAAACCCAGGGCTGGCTCAAGCCCCTATCTCCTGGGACATCTCTCTCTCTCTAAGAGTTAGGTGACTAGCCAGACTGGCATTGAACTCGTGCCAATCCTCCTGCCTCAGCCTCCCTCCCAATTCTGTCTGGGGAATGAGCCACCACTAGCCTCTTGCTTCCTCACTTTCTTTCTTCTTTCTTTCTCTTACGGCTAGTCCTGGGAATGGGACCCAGCGCATCACACACACTGGGCAAAGCTGCCTGTCTGCATGCAACTTCAGCCTGGTCTCTGACCTATGCCACTCTACCAGCCTCCTGCTTTGTGCTGGTAACCATTTTATAACCAGAACTAGTGTCTTAGGGCATAACACTACCATGGGGCTTCTGATCCTGATAGCTACTAATCTAAATGGCATCTTTGCCTCTGGTTAATTACAGCACTTTTTAAAGTTTTTTCTTTAACATAAGCTACAGGATTCTAATGTTTTTTTTAAAAAAAAATATATATATATGTTTTTTTTATCAAAAGCACTGTAACACAGTAGAGGACTTGGGAGTGGGCCAAAGGGTGTCCCATAGTACAGTTGGTAAAGGTTCTCATATATAATGCCATCAATGGAAGAGTTTGAGACAAGTCTAACCTACATAGTGAGAGATTGTTAAAAATAAAGATGTTAGGAGGAAAAAAAAGTCAGGTAGCATACACCTTTAATCCTAGCACTTGAGAGGCAGATCTCTGAGTTAGAGGCCAGCCTGGTGTACAGACAGAGAGTTCCAGGACAGCCAGGGCTACACAGAGAGACCCTGTCTCAAAAAACTCAAAAACAACACCACCAACAAAAACTTAATGGAGTTTAAGAGACCATTTTGCAAAAAAAGAAGAGAAAAGATAGCTAACCGTGTCTCTATAGTGAGTTTCAGGCGGGCCTGGGCTACATAGGGAGAATTATATTGCAATACTCCCTATCCCCCACCCCCTAAGAGAGAAAGGGAAAGAGAGAGAATTAAAAATAAAAACTGAGTAAGATGAATAATATTTTCAAGTGATTTAAGAGAGTGAATAAGCCAGGCAGGGTTGTACGTGTCTATTATCCTACTGTCCAGAAGGCTGAAGCAGGAAGAATTTGAAGGCAGCCTGGTCCACAGAGCAAGTTCAGACTTGCCTGAGCTAGAAAGTGAGATCCTGTCTCCAAACAATTAAAATAAAAGCAGAGCTGGGCATGGTGACACTTGACTTTGATGAGGGCTTGTTTACAGTTTCAAAGCGTGAGTCCCTGAATGTCCCCGCAGGGAGCTTGGCAGCAGGTAGACAACGTGGTGATGGGGTTAGAGGAGTAGCAGAGGGACTCACGCATGAGAGAGGAAGGAAGAGAGAATGGGAACGAGGGAGAGTGTGCATGGAGCTAGCACAAGCTAACTGGGAATGGTTTGGGCTTTTGAAACCTCCCAGTCAACCCCCAAGGACACACCTGCTCCAATGAGACTGTGGCTGCTAAGCCTTCCCTAATAGCTCTACCAACATCAGAGCAAACATTCAACTATGTGAGCCTATGGGGTTATTCTCATTAAAACCCCCACAGTCATCCTCTGCTACGTGAAGCCTTTTTCAAAAACTAAATAAACAAACCATGGTTAGTGCGAACATTTCATGAAGAGAAAATACCATATTTAAAAATGAAAGCAAGATGAAAAGTGGGACTGATAATGCAAAACCATACTGGATCTTGAAACAAGGAAAAGCCAGTAGTGTTGAGTTTTTCAGACTCCCCGTTATAAAGTTGTGCAATTGCCAGTGAGCATACTGAATATGGATACTGTGAAATTTAAAGAAATTTACCAAGGTTGGTGGTGTTGCACACCTTTAATCCCAGCACTGGGGAGACAGAGACAGGTGGATCTCTGTGAATCTGAGGCCAGCCTGGTCTACAGAGTGAGTTCCAGGACAACCAAGGCTGCACAGAGAAACTCTGTCTCAAAATATCTCCACCCCAATTTAATTTACTTTAAGAAAATTTTTGTTATTTTTTATTTATATGCATGTGTTTGTATCTATGGGGGGATACCTGCAGAGTCTAGAAAAGGGCATTGGATCCTCTGCATCTAGAGTTATAAGTGGTGTAAGCTGCCTCATTTGCCTTCTGGAAAGCAAACTATGTCCTCTGAAGGAGTGCGGGTCATGGATCTGCTGAGTCATCTCTCTCTCCAGCCACTTGAAATATTTCAAAGTGAATTTTTAGTTAATCTTTTTGTTTGTTTTGCGGGAAGAGGGTTGCTTTTGTTTTTGTTTTTGTTTTTGTTTTTTTGTAGACTAGGCTGGCCTGGAACTCACAGACATCTGCCTGCTTCTGCTCTGACTCCTGAAGTTCTGGGATTAAAGACACTGCGCCACCTGGCTTGTTAATTAATTTTTACCTCACTATAGATTAGAAAATCAGTAATTTATATGCAAACTATACACATATATTAACTATATATGTTTTCATTCAGCCCAAAGATAGAGGGGGTTGGCACATGAATTTGGGTATTTTCAATCCTAATGCTGAGAAAAACCACTATCTCAGGCAAAATGTATACTCACTAACTCAAAGCTATGGTTAAAATTTTTTTTTTCAATTATGTGTTCGTGTATGGGAAATTTTGAGTGTGAGTATGTAGGTCAGAAGCAGGGGCTCCTGCAGGAGCTGGAGTTAACATGTTGTTGTGAGCCTCCCAGAAAGGTTGCTAGAAACTGACCTCAAATGTACAAATGTACGGGGAAAGCAGGAGTGTTCTGTTTAACACAGAGCTTTCTCTCCAGCCTCTCATGATATTTTTGTTTGTTGAATCAACAAACTCCCTGGAACTCATAGATACTCTAGCCTCTGCGGGGGTTAAAGGAGTGCATCGCCAAGCCTGGCTCCCTCCGCAGATCCTAATCAGAGAAAAGGTTAATTACAATTTTCCCCAAAGCCTTCATCGCCTGCCAGGCTGGTGAGCTTCAGAAAACTACAGGTGTCTGTTTCTAAATCATGACTGTGATTCAGGGCAAGTTGATTATTCTATGGACATATTTAATCCCGTCCCCCCACCCTTTTTCCATTCTAATCTCTGCCAGACACTTTAGGTGCTATGATATAGTGCTGAAGAAAACAGGCGAGGATGGGAAGGGACAGGCAACAAATGAGAGATGAAATGCAGTGCTTTCAACGCTGAAGCGGCAAAGAAATAAAAACAAAGTGTAACCAACCACCTCCTGGTGTATCGTTTAGATTTAGTAACCAGTGTGATTGGAAGCATCAGGAGAATGGTGTGACCTAAACCATTTATTGTAATTATTAAAGATCTCACTATCTGCCAGGATGGTGGCAGCTGTCCATGTTACAGAAATGGATTGGACCATAGCTCTGTTAACAGTTGGAGACAGCAACTGGGCCAAAGGGTGTGTTTCTCTTTAAGAGCCAGTGCGATGGAGGCGGGGCTGAGTGTGTGCGGGGCTAGCAGAGGGCGGAGGTACCGGCTGGGAAGAGCCGCCCTCCCGAATGCGCGCGCGCCGTGCGGAGGCGGGATCAAGACCCGTCCGCATGGCTGGCTTTGGCCCCGGATGAGGAAGTGCGGTGGGAGGGTGGGGGGGACAGACTGTAGAAGCGGTGGAGGCCGGAGCGCCCTCGGGCCTCGGCTCCAGAAGATCTGGTAGAGTTGTCGGCCGCGGGGACAGCGGGGACCGAGGCAGCCGAGGCCAAGGTGGCGGGATGAGCACGGGCCGCGGAGCAGGCCACAGGGTAAGAGGCCCGGGCGGCCCCACAACGCCCTGGGAGTCCTCCGCTGGACGGTGCTGACTAAAGGGGTCCAGGTCCCCAGCCTTTTTGGGGCGCTGAAGGGCACCAAAGCTGCGTTGTTAGTGACAGAAACACCCACAGACATCAAGGAGATCAGGCGCCACGTCACTGGGAGAAAACAGCTTCACAGAGTCTTGGCTCCAGGGGAAAGAGGGTCCTTTTTCAACCTCCACCTGCAGGGGACCCCTAACTTCTCTCCTTGGAGAGGACGACGCCCCTTGTCGGCATTCGCCTTTCCTCGGCTCTGGTCCATTTGTCAGCGAAGGGAGGCCCGTTTATGTGCCAAAGGGTATTCTTTATCCTAAGGATTTAAGGGGTAATCCCCAAACGACCCCCACTTTGGTCAGCGTTTTCCAAATGAAGATTCTCAACTTCCCCCCAGAAGCGACAGAGGTATCTTTCTTTTCTTCAGACAAACAAGCACCCCCCCCCCAAACATTTGTCTTCCCTTCATTTTTCACGCTCACCTCAAGATAAAGAGAGGAAGGCCCAGAGTTTATGTTATTGCAAGTCAGCCTTTCTCCCCTTCCCCCAATCATGTCCACCAAGGGAGCTTTGCTTTTTGTGTTTTTCTTAGGTCTTTTAGTATTCAGTGAGCTTCTCTTCCTCTTTTGGAGTTTGATATTTGCAAGTTTGTATCTCCCACTTAACTTATTTGTGATCTTGACTCACCCATCCCGTCAATTGCAGCCCATCTCTAACCTGGTACTTTCTTTTCCTATGAATTGTCATGAGGGCTAAAGGGAAGTTTTGTGATAACGCTGGGTGCACAGTGGACTTTTGGTCAGTTATTACTATTGATTTGTTAAAGAAAAGCCATGTCCTGCTCAAAGAAGCAGGCTTTTGCATGGATGTATCCTCCATCACAAATGTTCAACCCATTCTTTCCTCCAGAAAGGCTTTTCCCACACTCCCATAATAAAGGACACCTCCTCTTCTTTGGAATCTTACTGTACTCTCTAAGTTAATAATGAGAGCCTTAGTAAAAATCAGAAGAAAAAAAATAATTTTTGTTGCTGTTTTTCAAGACAGGGTTTCTCTGTGTAACAGCTCAGGCTAGCCTTAAACTCACAGAGATCCGCCTGCCTCTGCCTCCCCAATGCTGTGATTACATATGTGATTAATATTTGGAAACAGCCAGGCAGTGATGTCCTATACTTTTAGTCCCAGCACTTGGGAGACAGAGGCAGTCGGATCTCTATGAGTTCGAGGCCAGCCTGGTTGACAGAGCGAGTTCCAGGACAGCCAAGAAGAGCTAAGGCTATACATTGAAATCCTTTCTGGGGGGGGGATAAAAATTTTGGAAACAAGTTTTGTTGTTGTTGTTGGGTTTTTGTTTGTTTGTTTGTTGTTGTTGTTGTTGTTTTGTTTTGAGATAAGGTCTCGATACAGCCCACCCAGGCTTTCCTAGACTGAACCCCAACCCCTGACCCCTGGTAATCCTCCTTGAGCTTTCTACAGAATGCTGCTATTTCAGACATGTACCTCATGTATCCCACACTGGCCTCAAATTTGCTTTGTAGTCAAGCCCCTGATCCTCCTGCATCTGTCTCCCTGTAAGAGTCTTAAGAGGGAGGGAAAAAATGCCAGAAGCCAGGCTTTTTTGCCCAAGTTTATCTAGGTCTGCTTTTCTATTCCCTTCATTCGCTTTTGTGACGATTAAAAAGTAGCTTCTTATCTACATATCCTCTCCAGCCTCCAGCTATCCTCAGAAAAATAAAACTGTCCTTTCCTAGTATGTAAAGTAGTGCAGATGTTTTTCCCCCTTTCTCTACTGATAAATATATGAAAATCTTCCATACATGATAACTTGTCAGTAGACATCAAGAGCATTTTCAGTTTCATCCCCTTTGTTGAAAGGTTGATCTTTATTCCTAATTTTAAGAAAAAGGGAAAGGGAAAGTGCCCGATGCGGTGGAGACTCCCTGCACAGTTCAGGGTTAAGAACTGGGTTCCCATGTAATGTGTGTCCTCCTGGTCTTGCTTTCAGTTTGTGTGGAGATCTTGGGTTTTTTCTTTATTGTGTTGTTGCTTTTTAGTTTTTTGAGACAGGGTTTCTCTGTGGCTTTGGAGGCTGTTCTGGAACTAGCTCTTGTACACCAGGCTGGTCTTGAACTCACAGAGATCGGCCTACTTCTGCCTCCCAAGTACTGGGATTAAAGGTGTGCACCACGAATGCCCAGCAAGATCTTGTTTTAGTGCTTTCTTTCTTTATTCTTTTTGGTTTTTTTGAGGCAGGGTTTCTCTGTGTAGCCCTAGCTGTCCTGGAACTCGCTTTGTAGACATGCTGGCTTCTAATTCACAGAGATTCCCTGCTTCTTTCTCCTGAGTGCTGGAATCAAAGGCTACCACCTCCAGGCTTGTTTTTCTTCAGAGACAGGATTTTATTATGTAGCCTTAGCTGATCTGATGATACTCACCATTTTTTTTTTCCAAATCTGTCCTGGAACTTTCAGCAGTTCTAAGTGTTGGGATCACAGGTGTGAGCCACTACTCCTGGTTTAGGGAGATCATATTAAAAGATTCTTCTTTTTCTGTCCCTCTTCTCCAAATTCCCTCAGGGAAGAATTGACTACATCTGAGTGTCCCTTTTGGAGGGACTGGCTGAAGAATCAGAATCTTTGGGAAAAAAAGCCCTTTTCTCAAGGTGAAAGGGGTGCTAGGAACTTCTGAGGGCCTGGGCATTCTTGTGAGTATTGTTCCGTGCCACAAGCATGGCAGTGCCCAGTGCCTAGTGTTCTTTCCTTTCTTTCTTTCTTTTTGGGGGGCGGGGGTCAAGACAGTTTTCTCTATAAAGTCCTGGAACTCCCTCTGAAGACCAGGCTGGCCTCACGAGTGCTGGCATTACAGGTATTTACCACCACGCCCAGCTATGTGCACAACGTTCTTAATAGCTTCTTTTACATTTGAACTAAAGAGAAGGGATTATTGAGGCATGTAGTTTTCAGTTCTACTTTCTTTGTTTAATTTTTTTCCTGTTTTTTTTTTTCTTTATTGCTGCAAAGTTTTACTTCCGAAACTATTGGGGAAAGTTGAATGATTAGAAATGCTGCCACCAGGCGTTGGTGGCACACGCCTTTAATCCCAGCACTCAGGAGGCAGAGGCAGGCGGATCTTTGTGAGTTCGAGGCCAGCTTGGTCTACAAGAGCTAGTTCCAGGACAGCCTCCAAAGCCACAGAGAAACCCTGTCTCGAAAAACCAAAAAAGAAAAAGAAATGCTGCCACTGTAGAATTTTTGACATTGTAAAATATTCTAATGACAGAGTTTCATTGTTAATTAATTCTTTAATAGTAGGTTTCTGTTTTAATTTTGGTAGGGTACACACTTCCAAATTACCTGAAGGCACACTGAAAAAAAGCTTTTTTTTTTTGTATATAAATTGTTCTTAAATTGCCTCAAATGCCTATGAGTACCTATTGAAGACAGTACTTCTGTTGATGATATCTGCCTGTAGGGTGTGTGCTGAAACAAAAGAGCAAGTTATCCTTTTCATAGTGGGCTTGTCTTGTGATTATTTTGACTTGGTCATTTCGCATGGCAAAAACAAACCCAAGAAAGTTCCTTTAAACTGAAGACATTCCAGGCTGTGCACCTAGTGAATAGAGTCAGAAGAGGGACTGAACTATTTCCCCACAGAGCTTTGCATTTGAAACAGATGAGAGGTCACTTATTAGAGTATCTCTTCCCCTTCCTCCTCTTCTTTTTTTTCCTGTTTTAGTTTTTTTTTTTTTTTTTGAGACAGCGGTATTTGTTTTTTGTTGGTTTGTTTGCTCATTTTTTGTGTTGCTGGTGCTCAGACCCAGGTCTTATACCTTCCAAACACGTACTCTCCACTGAAATACAGCTGAGTCACAGTAATCACTAAAGTACAACATACAAATGAGTTATTGTTGGGTGCATCACCCAGGCAACACTGTTAATGTTGGGTTCATTAGGCGGGATTTAAGGCAGGTTCTCATTTAACCCAGGCTGGCCTAGAACGTCTATGTAATGAAGTGTTATCTTAAACTCCTGATCAGCCTGCCTTTACTTTTTTTTCTTTTTAGTTTTTTGAGTCAAGGTTTCTCTGCAACAGTCTTGGCTGTTCTGAGCTTGCTTTGTAGACCATGTGACCTCAAACTGCCTCTTCCTCTCAAGTGCATGGGATTTGAAAGATGTGCACTACCACACCTGACCTTCGTGGTCTTTGTGGTGCAGATACATGCATGTAGGCAAAATGCTCATACACACAAAATAAAAATAAAATACATAGAACAGCTGAGCTGTTAAATGCTCCACCTCAAATATCAGCCTTGTTAAAATATAATTCATCAAGATATAATTCATCTGGACTAGAAATGGTCCTCAATGGTAGAGCAACCTAGCCTATCATTTCTGAAGCCCTGAGCATGCTCTTAAGCACCACAGAATGAAAAAACAAAGTAAAAAGTAAAAAGCCATGCTAACATGCACAGAGTACTCAAATAGCTTGCCTGTTTAAACTGTACAAGTCTGTGTACTTTATAGTATAGTCAGTTGTACAGCCATTACTGTGATCAATTTTAGAACTTTATTTTTGGTGGTTTTTTTGTTTGTTTGTTTTGCTTTGAGACTAGGTCTCTCTATATATTCCTGACTGTACTGGAACTCACTATGTAGACCAGACTGTCCTGGAACTCACAGAGATCTGCTTGCTTCTACCTCCTGAGTGCTGGGACTGGACCACCACATCTGACTCAGAACTTTTAGGTATGGGTGCTCTATCTGCATGAATGCCTGCATTTCCAGAAGAGGGCATCAGATCTCATTAAGGATGTTTGTGGGCGTTGGTGGCGCACGCCTTTAATCCCAGCAATTGGGAGGCAGAGGCAGGCGGATCTCTGTGAGTTCGAGGCCAGCCTGGTCTACAAGAGCTAGTTCCAGGACAGCCTCCAAAGCCACAGAGAAACCCTGTCTTGAAAAACCAAAAAAATAAAAAAATAAAAATAAAAAATCAAAAAGGATGTTTGTGAGCCACCATGTGGTTGCTGGAAATTGAACTCATAACCTCTGGAAGAGCAGTCAGTGCTTTTAACCACTGAGCTATCTCTCCAGCCCTGGCTCAGAACTTTTAAAAAAGATTTTGTGTGTTTGAGTGTTTTGCTTACAGTGTACATAGGCATCAGAAGAGAGCATTGAATACCCTGGAACTGTATAGGTGCTGAGACCCAAACCTAGGTCCTTTGCAACAGCAGCCAGAGCTCTGAACCACTGAGCCTCCAGCCCTAATTTTAGGACTTTTTCTTTTACTTGCTTATTTACTTATAATGGAGACCAAGCCTCATTGTGTATCTCTGGGTAGCTTGGAACTCTCTGTGTAGATCACACTGGCCTTAAACTCATCCGTTTGTCTCTACCTCTCTATATGTGTGCTGGTTCCCTTGGAAGATTGGTGGGTCCTCTGGAGATGATGTTTGAGTGGTTGTAATCTACCATATGGGTGCTAGGAACTGAACTCAGGTTCTTTGTAAGAATAGCAAGTGCTTCTAACCACTGAGTCATCTTTCCAGTTCCAAAACAATTTTATTATTACAGAAAGAAATTAGGCAGTCCCTGTCATTTTGTGATGGCAGAACTTTTTTTTTTTCTTTTTTGGTTTTTTGAGACAGGGGTTTCTCTGTATTGTTTTGGAGGCTGTCCTGGAACTCACTTTGTAGACCAGGCTCACAGAGATCCTCCTGCTTCTGCCTCCCGAGTGCTGGCATTAAAGGCGTGCACCACCAATGCCCGGCATGATGGCAGAACTCTTATCCCTAAGCAAATACTAGTATCCACTTTGCAGATTTGCCTATACCTGAAATTTTGTATAAATAGGGTCTTAAAATTTGTGGTATTTTCAAAGTCTGTTCATTTTGTAATCTCTTGGTACTCTGCTCCTTTTTAAAGCTTAATATTCCTTTGTATAATCTGACAGTATTTTGTTTGTCTACTTACCAGTGGTCATTTGTATTTGTTTCTATTTTTGCCCACTGTGAATAGTTCTGCTAAGAATGTTTGTGCCCAGGTTTTTGTGAACATGTTTTCTATATGTATGCCTAACTGGACTTTTTGAATGATATGGTGACTATGATCAAAGGAACAGTTTGTTGGTGTTTTGTTTTGTTTTGTTTTGTTTTTTTGATTTTTCTGTAGACCAGGCTGGCCTTGAACTCACTGAGACCCGCCTGCCTCTGCCTCCCGAGTGCTGGGATTAAAGGCGTGCGCCACCAACGCCCGGCTGGTGTTTTTGTTTTTGTGTTGTGTTTTTTCCTCAGTACTAGGGATTGGAGCCCCCATTTTTTTTGTAGTATTTATTTGTGTATATGTGTGTGTGTCTGTGCACATGCATGCGGTACCTTTAGAGGCCAGGAGAGAAACTGGATTCCCTGGTGGATTCCCTGGAGCTGGAGTTCCAGGACGTCATAAGTGCTCGATGTGGTTGCTGGGAACCTAACTGTGGTCCTGTGGAGCCGTGTTTTCGTCCTGTGACCGAGGATCTTTCATGTTAGGCAAACACTTTCACTGAGCTACAGCCCCAGCCCAAGGAGATACAATTGGGTTTCCCTCAGCAAAGAAGCTTCAAGGAAAGGTGAAGTCATCGAGGAAATGAAACTTAAGAAGAAAGTTATGTATCAGCTTTTGAGAGCACCCATATCTCCTTGGCAGGCAGGGGAGAAAGAGATCTTGACACAAGGTGGCAGAGACCCAAGAAGTCTGTGTGTATCTGTAAACTTGGTTTTCTCTAGATGGAGAGTGGCTGTGTGTATCAGGTTGGCCACGAACTCACAGTCCTGCTTGCTCAGGTGTTGCAGTGCAGATGTGCTCCTTCCCACAGAGAGATAATACTTACTTTCTATAGTGTCTTTTATTTATATGTATGTGTATGCATGGTGTATATGAATGTGGGCCTGTGTTCACCACAGTAGGTACGTAGAGACCAGAGGACAACTTTGTCAGGTGGGTCTCTCCTTCACCTTGTGAGTTTCAGGGATTGTGTTCAGGTCAACAGGCTTGAAAAGCCTGCTCTACAAGAGTGAGTCCCAGAACAGCCTCTAAAGCCACAGATAAACTCTGTCTCGAACCCCTCTCCCCCCAAAAAAGAAAAAAAGCCATAGGACAGGCAGAGGTGAGGATTCTTGGGCTGCTGGCCATCCGGTCTAGCTTAATTGTGGAGCTTTAGGCCAATGAGAGGCTGTCTCAAAGGAGGAGAATAACCCTGAAAATTGTGCTGTGCCCTCCATGTGCACCTGTGCACACACAAATACACACAAATATGTAAGACAAAAACAACCTTCCTGACGAATTGCTACATGTCCAGTGCTGACTCTGGGATATATCAGTGAACAAGGTGTCTAAGGCTCATGCCTTGCAATCAGGTCGAGAAGCACCTTTAGTTTCTAGTCTGTCAGGACTGGTTTTGGATGCACATTAATGTCTTATGCTCACCTGGGTTTGCTCAATTTGTTTTCAGAGCTAAGAAATTACTTTAAAGGTTTTATTCATTTATTTTGAGATAGGGTTTTTGTGTGGAACCCTGTCTGGTATGGAACTCACGTATATAGATCAGGATGGTCTCAAACTCACAGAAATCTGCCTGTCTCGTGAATAGTGAGATTAAAGGTATGTGCCACCAGACCTGGCTGGTTAGTAGTATGTGTTATATTTTTCTGTGCAGATGAGCATAGCTTCCTAAAGATGCTGGAGGCATCAGATCCCCCTGGAGCTTGAGGTACTGATAGTTTTGAACTGTTCAGCATGGGTGCAGACTCAAGTGGGAACCAAACTCATGTCATCTACAAGAACAGTATATATACATTTTTAACCACATAGCCATTTTGCTAATTCTCCTTTCCCCCCATATTCTTGAGACAGGAGCTCAGTCTTAGCCCAGGATAGCCTTGAACTTACTCTGTAGTTGAAGCTGTTCTTGCACTTGTGTCAATCTCCTGCCTTAGCCTCCTGAATAATAGGATCACAAGTATGAGCCCCAACACTTAATGTTGGTAGTGTTGGGGCTTGAACTCAGACTTTGTATACCCCGAGTAAGTGCTCTACCACTAAGATACATTATGTGCTTCACATTTAAACAGGATATTCACAAAGCAGTATTTTAATTAAGGTGGCATGCCTATTGAAGATAAGATATGTGTTTTTCCACCAATTCAGTAGACATTTTGGTATCCAAGAATGCTGGCATTTGAATTTGAATTTGTTTTCCTTTTTTTGGTTGCTATTTTATTTTTATTTATTGTGCATACAGCCTTTTGTCTGCAGGTCAGCAGAGGGTACCAGATCTCATTCAAGGTGGTTGTGAGCCACCATGTGGTTGCCGGGAATAACTCAGGACCTCTGGAAGAACAGTCAGTGCTCTTAACCGCTGAGCCATCTCTCCAGCCCTTGTTTTGTTTTTTGAGAAAGGGTTTCTCTGTGTAACAGCTTTGGCTGTTCTGACACTCCATCTGCCTGCTTCTGCCTCCCAAGTGCTGGGATTAAAGGCATGCACCACCATTTCCTGGCTGTTTTCCATATTTTAACCCATGTGAACTGAAACAGTTCTTTTACCCTGACAAGGTTTTAAACTTGTATCCCTTCCTTTGATTTGTGTCAGGGTAAACCATTGATGTAAAAGACTTGATTCCATAATCTCCATCTGCCCTAATGCTGTCATCTGGAGTAGAGACTCAGCCAGTTCCTCTTGACTCACTCATGCCTGCTGTGGTACATGAATTATACTCTGAACTCTCAGTAAGTGTCTCCAAAGAGCTTCATGCTGAGAAGGAGCCCAGTATGATTCCAGATGTAAACCCTGGAGCCTCAAGCTCTCATGTAAGTCAGAATGGGGTATCATCCCTGGAGCTGCAGAGGACTCGTGCAGAAGGCTGCTGTGAAGAAACCTTTGAGACCTTGGATTACAGGAGCAAGCCTGGGTGGTGCGGACTAGTGGACCCTACAGCAAGAGGGCCTGTGACTTTTGAGGTCTTGGATAGGGAAGAGAGAACCCAGAGCATGGAGCCAAAGGTCTTCAGAGGTCAAGGAGACCAGGCGGAAGTTTTCAGAGACCCCTGTGAGGCAGCAAAGGAGGACCCATGCCAGCATTCCACAGCTTCTAAAGAAAAGATCTGCCCCAGTCAGGTAAGAAATGAGGCTTGATGGAAACAAGTTGAATGTGAGTGATGACACTGCAGAGCAACGCTTCTCATGATAAATTATAAATGCTGACAGGTAGCCTGTGACTTAGTCTTGAAACATTTTTTTTTTTGGATGGGGGAAGTTTCGAGACAGGGTTTCTCTGTATTGTTTTGGAGCCTGTCCTGGAACTCACTCTGTAGACCAGGCTGGTCTCGAACTCACAGTGCTGCCTCCTGAGTGCTGGGATTAAATAAAGGTATGCGCCGCCAACGCCCAGCATCTTGAAACATTTGTAAAAATATTGATTTTGATGTTTTTTGATGTAAGTCAGTGCTGTGCTTTTACTATTATATGAATTATTGAGTCTCTAAAGATAATGTTTTTTAAATTTATTTTTATTTTAATTGCATTGGTGTTTTGCCTGCATGTATGTATGTCTGTGTGAGCGTGTCAGATTTTGGAGTTAACAGACAGTTGTTAGCTGCCATGTGAGTGCTGGAAATTGAACCTGGTTCCTCTGGAAGAGCAGTCAGTGCTCTTAACTGCTGAGCCACCTCTCCAGCCCCTCAAAATAATGTATGTCTACATATAATGTTAAATAATTATGTGTAAGGGCTGGCAAGATGGCTTAATTGGTGAAGCATCTGCCACGAAAAGTTCAGATCCCCAGTACATAAAAAGCTAGGCACAGCAGCACCTCAGTAGCAGACAGGGCAGATCCTTGGAGTTTGTTGTCTAGCCAGCTGAGCTAAATCTATGAGCTCCAGGTTCAGTGGGAGACCCTGCTCAAAAAGGAAGGTTGCACTGGTTAGTGGTGGTGGCACACGACTTTAAGCCCAGGACTTGGGATTGTTATTGCATGCATATATGTATATGTACGTTTATGTTCCTAAAAAGAATCTGCTAAGTCCGTATAATGTTACTTGTGTGTGTTTTCAGGGCTGATCATTTGATGGACAGCCAGTTGGTATCCTTTCCCTGAGGAAGATCACCTTTCCTGCTCTCAGCTTTCCTTAGTTACCTTGTCTTTGTGTAGTAGATAAGGAAAAGTCCATAAGGCCTAAACCCTATGCACAAAAGATTTTTAATATTTATTTTTAAATTTATGTGTATGAATATTTTGCCTATGAGTATGTATGCGCACTATGTGTGTGCCTGGTACCTGTGGAGGGAAAAAGAGGGCTTCAGATCTTGGAACTGGAGTTACTGATAGTTGTGAGCTACCATTTGGGTGCTGAGAGCCAAACCTAGGTTCTCTGCAAAAGCAACAAGTCCTCCTGACCACTGGACTATCTGTCCAGTACCATGATTTTTCCTTTTCTTTTTGCTTTATTTATTTACTTATTTATTTGGGGTTTTTCAAGACAGTGTTTCCCTGTGTAGCCCTGGTTGTCCTGTCTGTGGACTGGGCTAACCTCAAACTCAGAGATCCACCTGCCTCTGCCTCCTGAGCACTGGGATTAAAGACATGTGCCACCACGGCCTGGCATAGAAAAGGATTTTGTATTGAAAATAAATAAAATTTCAGTGACTTTAAAATGAAATCTCTTGGCAGCTGGAGACATCTCTGTCAGTAAATGCTTGCTTACTATGCAAGCGTGAGGACCTGAGTTTGATCCCTAGCACCCATGTAAGAATGATAGCACACTTGTTATCTGGAGGGTCTCTGGGACTCTCACTGACCAGTCTAACCTATCCTCAGCACTGAGAGACCCTTTCTCAAAAAACAAGCTGAGGGTTGGTTGAGAAGACTCTGAAGGTAAAGGTGGTTTTTTTTTTTTTTTTTTTTTTTTTTTTTTTTTTGAGGCAGGGTTTCTCTGTGGCTTTGGAAGCTGTCCTGGAACTCGCTCTGTAGACCAGGCTGGTCTCGAACTCAAAGAGATCCGCCTGCCTCTGCCTCTTGAGTGCTGGGATTAAAGGCATGCACCACCAACACCCGACAAAGGTAAAGGTGTTTAAAAGTATAAGCCAGAAGACCTGAGTTTGATATCCAGAACCATAGGAGAAAACCAACTCCACAAAATTGTTCTCTGACTTCCACACATGCACAGAGACACATGCCCTCCCCACCATCACACATATAATAATAATAGAGGAAAGAAAAAAAATGAGGTGGATGGCCCATGAGGAAGACCACCAAAGGTCAACATCTGACCTCCACCTGTAAGCATGCATACCCACACACAATTGAAAAGAAGTGTTTTTTATAAAGGTAGAAGTCTTTAACTGCCTCAAGGCAGAATTGATGTTGATAGACTGTTCTTGGGTCTACAGGGTACTGTTGTCCCCTAGTTTGATGTGGCTCTGATCTCATGCAACAGAGAAGTATCTATAGCATGTTGCTGAGGTGTAAAAGTTTTCTGTGACTTCACAATCGGGGCTTTACTTAAAGCTGCAGTTTCTCTGAATTGAGATTCAGAGGAAAATTCCTGTAAAGGTTCCTCTCTACATATAAAGGTGCAAGATCATCTGGTGATTAAAAACTTTTCATTCATTAGAGTGTTGGCAGTTGAATCCTGGGCTTTGTGCCTGCTAGTTAGGCACTATACCTACCTACCAAGCTGCATCTCCAGCACTGTTTGTCTTTTTAAGAAGTCTCAACTCAGTAGCTCAGAGACTGGCCTCTTAACATCCGTGCTTCTTCCCCTCAGCCTCTACAGGGCTGGGATTAAAAACATGAGCCACCAACGCCCGGCAAGAAACAGTATGTTTTTTTAAATTAAAAAAAAATTGCCGGGCATTGGTGGTGCACGCCTTTAATCCCAGCACTCGGAGGCAGAGGCAGGTGGATCTCTGTGAGTTCGAGGCCAGCCTGGTCTACAGAGCAAGTTCCAGGACAGCCTCCAAAGCCACAGAGAAACCCTGTCTCGAAAAACAAAAACAAACAAAAAAAAAAAACAAAAACTTCAAAAACAGCTTTTTTTAAAAGTAATTCTTGATTTACATAAAAATGAAAAGGCAGAACAAAAATTTGAAATTGAAGTCAAGCCTCAATTTTTTTGGCAAGGTTTGATTGTGTCATTTTATTGGCCTGGAACTTGCTGTGTATACCGGACTGACTTTGAACTTACAGAGGTTTTTCTGTTTCTCCAGAGCTGGCAGTAAAAGTCACAATTCAGGGCCGGGCGGTAGTGGCACACGCCTTTAATCCCAGCACTCGGGAGGCAGAGGCAGGCGGATCTCTGTGAGTTCGAGGCCAGGCTGGACCGACAGCCTCCAAAACAATACAGAGAAACCCTGTCTCGTAAAACCAAAAAAAAAAAAAAAGTCACAATTCAGCCATTAGTCTCCCCGTTTTCACATTGGTTTGCAAGTGTCGTAGGAGTTTTCCAACAGTTGCAATTATGAGATCCGGCAGACTCCTCCAACCCCTCATTAAACTTTGCATAGCTGTCCTATGAGCTGCATGCCCAAGAAGGGAACACAGAGAAACCTTGGAAGGAAGGGACACTAACTTCACCTCTGCCACCCATGGCTTGTCCTATACCTGCTTAAGCTGGCATTTGCACTAAGTGCGCCTGTACCCCAACTTATTTCTTATTTTCAGAAGGCACTTAGGAGTTGGGCATTCTGATTCACACCTGCATTCCCACCACTCAAGAGGCTGAGGCAGGAGGATTATAGCTTGGTATGCATGGTGACCCCTACCTCCAAAATTGGAAAAAAAAAAAAAGCATTAATAGAGCTTTTTTTTTTTTTTTTTTTTTTTGGTTTTTCGAGACAGGGTTTCTCTGTGGCTTTGGAGGCTGTCCTGGAACTAGCTCTTGTAGACCAGGCTGGCCTCGAACTCACAGAGATCCGCCTGCCTCTGCCTCCCAAGTGCTGGGACTAAAGGCGTGCGCTACCACCGCCCAGCAAGAAGTAATATTTTTTATTTATTAATCTAAACTTGAGCTTTCCTTCATCTCAATTCTTGTGGCTAGTAGCAGATTTCCTGGTTGCACTGAGGTCTGAAGTAATAACTCATGTACCTCTGTATTATCCATTGACTGTTGGGTTTTCTTGTTGCAGGATGTCCTCCTGATACAATCCAGCAAAGAACCTGTATGTGCAGACTTCTCTGGAGATCTGCTAAAGAACAGAGGTATGATACTTTTTGTTGTTTTTTTGCTGTTGTTGCTTTCTTAGATAAGGTCTCCCTATGTAATCCTGGCTGGCTTGGAATTCATATGTATCCATCCGCCTCTGCCTCCTTGGATTAAAAGCATGTGCCATCATACCTGGGAAGATTTTTGTTAAGATTCATTTATTTATGTGTATGTGTCAGCTTGCTTAAGTAAATATATACCACATGTGCAGAAGCCATTGAAGGCCAGAAGTGGGTGTCAGATCCACTGGAACTAGAGTTAAAGACAAGTTGTGAACCACCATGTGGGTGCTCGATACCCAATCAGGGACTGTTGGAAGAACAATAACTACTCTTAATCTCTGAGCCATGTTTCCAGCCCTTGGGTTTATTTATTTACTTTTGGTTTTTCGAGACAGGGTTTCTCTGTAGCTTTGGAGCCTGTCCTGGAATTGGCTCTGTAGACCAGGCTGGCTTTGGACTCACAGAGATCCACCGTCTCTGTCTCCCAAGTGTTGGGATTAAAAGCGTGCACCACCACTACCCTACCAAATTGGGTTTATTAAGAAAGGCTTTAGTTGTCTTCTGGGTGATAGTCAGTGTATACTGTTAGTGGGAACAAAGTATTCTTTTAGTTATCATTTTTGCCAGGTTTGGGTTTTGTTTTGTTGTTTGTTGTAGTTCACATGGGGCTGGGTGAATGGAGACAGAAATAGAAGAATAAGGATAGAAATTGGTCTGGAAGCTTATCTGAGGAGACGTTAGGGCACAGGAATGGTGGGCATAGAGTGTGGCTCTGTGCGTACCCAGGCCTGCTGAGGCTGTGGTGGAGGCTTGAATCATTCATTGCACAGCCTGTGGTCTCCCTCCACTTCAGTCTCCTGGTTCTGAGGTCAGATCATACCCTGACATTTGACGAGGAGTATGTGTGTTATCTCTGGGGGCACAAGCTAGCTCGAGCTAAGCTTCTGGACCTGTAACTTTACAGTCTTTTCAAGGTACGAACTGGGACGCAGTGGGTCTACAGGCATAGCTGCTTTGTTTTTGTTTTTGTTTTTTTTAAAGGACAGGGTTTCTGTATAGCCTTGGCTGTTCTAGAACTTGCTCTGTAGACCACCAGGCTGGCCTCAAACTCAGAGTTCTGTGCAGACATGTCTCCTTTTCAGGACTTTTTGTTTAAATCCGCCCCACCCTCCACCCCAGTCCTGCCCGTCTTTTGTCAGGGTCTCACTATGTAGTCCTGGCTACCCTGGAACTCTCTTCATGTAGACCTCTCCCAGACCCAAGTAAGACCCCATGCCCCAAAGTTTCCTGCTCTTTGCTGGGCTGAGTGTTTCAGCATAGAAACCTGCTGGGGACATCTCTGACCAAAGACGTCACAGTGGGGGAGGCTCGTGAGGAGTGCCCATAGAGGGGAAAGAGAAGTAGTAGAAGGGCTGTTTCACAAGGGAGCCTGCCCTGTCAGACATTCTAACTAGTGACCTCCCTGCCTGTTAATCTGAGGGATGTTTATTTGCTGAAACAGATTCTATATAGTCTTGGCTGGCTTTGCACTTGTCTATGTAGAACAAGCTGGCCTCATACTCACAGAGATCCTCCTGCCTCTGCCTACTGAGTACTGTAAAGCTGTGAAACAACTGGCCTAGCTCTTTGCTTGCTTGTTTTTGTTTGAGGTAGTTTTCGTGTATTCCAGGGCATCCTTGATCCTGCTATGTAGTCAGGGGTGGCCTTGAATTCCTGACCTCTTTGACTCTTAAGTACTGGAATTACAGGTATATGCTATCACACCTGGTTTAAATTCTTAAAAGCTCATTGATTTTTGTTGTTGCTCCTGCTGTTCTTGTTTTTCTCTTTTTTGAGACAGGATTTCTCTGTAGACAAGACTGGCCTCAAACTCACAGAGATCCACCTGCCTCTATCTCTTGGAATAAAGGCTGGCACTACCACCTCCTGGGTTTTTTTGTTTGTTTGTTTAAAATAACTCAAATATTCTTTTTTAATGAAAATTTTACTCTCTATGTATTTGCCCTCTTATTTTATTTTGGTTTTTTGAGACAGGGTTTCTCTGTGTAATAGCCCTGACTGTCTTAGAACTTGCTTTGTAAATCAGGCTGGCTTTGAACTCACAGGGATCTGTCTGCCTCTTCCCCCTGAGTGCTAGGACTAAAGGTATGTGCCACCACTGCCTGGCGTTTATTTTTTAACTGGAAGAGGTGCAGTATGTAATAGAATACTACGATTCATGTGTAGGGTCAGGTTTTTGGTTTTTTGTTGTTGTTGTTTTTTTTTATCATGTAAGTCTTGGAAATTGTCAGGCTCTGGGAAAGTGCCTTTAATTGCTGAGCATTTCACTGGCTCCCTTGTCCTACAATTTACAATTTAAGGGGTTATAATTTGCAAAAGTCAACTACTACCACATCCACTTAGTAAAAAAGTTGCTTTCTCTCTGTGTCTGTCTCTGTCTCTCTCTTTGTTTTTCAAGATAGGGTTTTGCTGGACTTTGGTGGCGCACGCCTTTAATCCCAGCACTCGGGAGGCAGAGGTAGGCGAATCTCTGTGAGTTCAAGGTCACACCCTGGTCTCTAGAGCAAGTTCCAGGACATCCTTCAAAGCTACACAGAGAAATCCTGTCTTGAAAAACCAAGGGGGGCGGGGAGGGGGGGAACAGGGTTTCTCTGTAGCTTTGGAGCCTGTCCTGGAACTCTCTCAGTAGATCAGGCTGGCCTCAGACTCACAGAGATCCGCCTGCCTGTGACTCCTGAGTACTGGGATTAAAGGGGTGCACCACCAATGCCCAGCTAATTTTCATGGCATCTAAAAGAAGTCTTGTAACAGTAGTCTCTTCTAAAGTAATCTTGTAACCAACTCCTTTGGTCTCCCATCTACTAGTGTACTTTCATCATTCTAAATTTGTTTATAGTGAATATAAGGTATTTGCCTTATGTGGCTTTTGTGGCCCAATTCTCTAAATTGGCTTAAATGTTTGTTATTTCTTTCTTTTATAAGGTCTCAGTCTATTTTCCATTAATACCAACAATATAGAAAGGTTATAATTTATCCTAAATTGCTTTTCTTTGTGGAGAGGTTTTCTTAATTCTAGCATGAAGTAACATCTCAGTATAGCTACCCCTCCCCTATTTTTTTTTTTAACTAAGTTTCACTTTATAAACTAGGCCTGGTGTATATATCAGGTTCTAGGCCAGCCAGGGTTGTACCATGAGTCCCTGCCTGTTTTTTTTTTTTTTTTTTTTTCTGGTTTTCTGAGACAGGGTTTCTCTGTATTGTTTTGGAAGCTGTCCTGGAACTCACTCGGTAGACCAGGCTGGCCTCAAACTCACAGAGATCCACCTGCCTCTGCTTCCCGAGTGCTAGGATTAAAGGTATGCGCCACCAACACCAGCTCCTGCCTCGGTTTTTAAATGGTTTATTTCTTATGTCTGGATGGTTGGTTGTACTGCAGTGTGCACGTGGAAGCCAGAGGACAGCCTGAGCTTGTTGTCTCCCTTCACCGTGTGGACCCCAGAGGTGGAAGTCAGGTCCTCAGGCTTGGTGGCAAGTGCCTTAACCTGCTGCACCATCTTACTGGTGCCCAGAACACTTTATGTAGATCATACTGAATTTGTAGTGCCTCTCCTGTCTGCCCCTCCTGAGTGCTGGAATTAAAGGCACATGCCACCATTTCTGGCCCGTTGTAGTTTCTGTATTCTCTAATAGCCAATGTTATTGTGGTTTTTGGTTGGTTGGTGTTTGGTTTGTTTTTTTAAACTGTGAATCAGTATTTTGCCAGAAAACAGTTTCAGATTCCCTGGAACTAGAGTTGCGGATAGTCGTGAGCTGCCCTGTTCCTGCTGGGAACTGAACCTGGGTCCTGTCATAGCAGCCAGTGAGTGCTGTTAACTGCTGAGCCATCTCTGGTATTTTTTTTTATTTTGAATAGCTTGTTTTACATGTCAATCCCAGTTCCCTCTCCCTCCCCTCCTCCTGCACCCCCCATTCCCCCCCCAGCCTCCCACCCTATTGCCAATTCCTGCCACATAGGGGATATCTAGAGTCTGTCATTTCACTCACGACAGGGTCCATGCACTCCTCTAAGAGTCAGGCTGAGAGAGCATCCCTCTTTGTGTTATGGACACACGATGTCTGTTAGTATTCGAGGGATAAACACTGATCCACTGCTCAGGACCCCATAGGTTGCCCAGGCCTCCTCACTGACACTCACATTCGGGGGTCTGGATCAGTCCCATGCTGGCCTCCCCACTGTCGGTCTGGAGTCCAAGAGCTCTCCCCTGGTCAGATCAGCTGTCTCTGCTGGTTTTGCCAGTCCATTCTTTGCCAATTTGCTCATTGCTCCTCTCTCTCTGTCACTGGGTTCCTTGGATTCAGTTCAGTGTTTAACTGGGTGTTTGCTTCTGCTTCCATCAGTCACTGGATGAAGGCTCCCGGATGGTTATAGACATCAAGTTCATTATCAGGAATGGGCATTCGAGGTGGTCTCTCCACTATTGCTTAGCTTGCCAATTGGTGTTATCCCTTTAGATCACTAGAGGTCACACTGGTGCCTGATCTGTCTTCTAACCTATGATTCCCTCTTCCCCCTGTTCTATCCCCCCCACTCAACCTTCCTGTTCCCCCATGACCTACTCTCTCTTCCCCTCCCCCCTCTTCTTCCTAGCTCCCACTCCCCCCCCCACCCCTCACCGTGTTCTCCATCTGTTCAGAGGATCTTGCCTCATTCCTCTTGGGTACTATGCATATATTTTAGGTTCTTTCCTGTTTCCCAGACTCTCTATCAGTGGAAGTGCAGACTGGCACTATCCTGATCCATGTCTAAAATCCATATATGAGTGAGTACATACCATGTTTTCTTTTTGCGACTGGGTTACCTCTCTCAGGATGGTTTCTTCCAGTGCTATCCATTTACCTGCAAATTTCAAGATTCCATTGTTTTTTTCTGCTGAGTAATACTCCATTGTGTAAATGTACCACGTTTTCTCTATCCATTCTTCAGTTGAGGGGCA